GCTAGACTTGTCTGAGAGCGAGGCCTATGACTTAAAGGACCTTCGTTTGCTGGAGTGGATTCTACACATGATTGAGCAGAACCTGTTTAGGTCCTTGATGGTCTCGCCCCCTTGCACTACTTTTTCGCCTGCAGCCTATCCAGCAGTTAGATCTTACAAGGTCCCCAAGGGGTGGAGGAGAAGGCATCCAAAGGTCCTCATCGGGAACATCCTTGCTTTCAGGTCTCTTGTCATCATGGGCCATGCCTATAATTGGGGAAGGCCCTCAGCGCTTGAGCAGCCGCGACGGTCAAAGATGGCATGGCTAGATGAGTGGAGGGCCCTACTCCGCCGAGGCCTTGAGGAAGCCGTCGTTGCATCCTGTGCTTTTGGTTCTATTCATCAGAAGGAGTTCCGTTTGCTGCTGGCTCATTTGGATGCAGCGGCTCTCACAGTTCACTGCTCCCGGGACCATTCCCATGTCAAGATCGAGGGACAGTATACAAAGAAGTCCGCCATCTATGAGCCTGGTGTTGCAAGGCATTTTGCCGGTGCCTTTCATGCGGCCCTTTCCAAGCTCCCAGAAGATTGCCCTGAGGTCGGTGACGGTTTGGAAAGCATTGTTGCCAATGACCTTCTTTTGGCAGCATCATGGACAGTTGAGAGGAGCTGGCATTGGAAGAGGGGGGCCACATCAATGTCCTTGAGGTCGGTGCCGTGGTGTCATTGCTAAAGGACGCTGTCATTTCCCGGTCTGACAGACGCCTAAACATATTGCTGGACTCCAATGTGGCAAAGTGTGCCTTGGCTAAGGGCCGCAGCTCGTCAAAGATGCTGACTCCGGTTCTCATGAAGGCTGCCGCTCTTCAGATTGCTGGAGGTTTGTATCCATCCTACAATTTCGCACCTACGAGGTTGAATACAGCAGATCATCCAACTCGGGACCGACGATTACCAGATCCGGTCCCTCATTCATTGGTTGAGTCGCTGTCTCTGCTCCAGATTGGCTCTCTACAGAATCGTGGCTTTTCAAGAGGAGCTTCTGGCTGGATCCGCTTGTCGTTGCTAGCCATCTACGTCCTACCTTCGTTTGGCCTCATGCCCCATGACTTTGCCGGGGGTGATGGGCCCTGCAGCGATGGATTTCATGGACTTTCCGGTGCCTGGATTTGGCCTGGGGCTTGGATTTCAAAAGGTGGACTTCTTGGATTTTGTGGATTTTACACTGGCTGGATTTGGCCGGTTTCAAGCCGTTGCTATCTCTCGCCTCATGGCTGCATCGCTCTCCTTCTTTTGCTCACCTTTCTTGTCACTTCGTTCAGCCCTCCTCCTCTTGCTGGTGGACGCCCCGGTTTGGTCCCCAAAGGTGGTAAACTGAAGACCCGAGTAGGCCGGCCGCGGTTAGCCATTTCAGCCATGGTATGGACCTGCTTGTTTGTTGGGGCAGGAGCACCTTTAGCTCCCCAGACTGGAAATGAACGGTCCCGAGCCTTGGCGAGAGCGGCCACGCAGCTGATTCCTGACCGCGCGGTCACGACTGAAACCAGGGACCGTCGGGCTATCTACCTCAAGGAGTTCGACGCCTGGTTGACTGAGGCCATGGATTTGTCGGTTGATGTTTTGCTGGCTGAGAAGCCGGCTGACCCTGAAAAGATCTCTGAATGTTTGGTGCAGTACGGCCGTGCCCTTTTCACAGCTGGAAAGAGTTACCAAAAGTATTCTGAGACAATCAATGCGGTTGGCACTGCCCGGCCGCTGATAAAGCGTCAACTGACTCGAGCCTGGGATTTAGCTTTTGCATGGTTGCAGGATGAACCACATTCCCACCATCCTGCCCTTCCTGCTAGCATTCTACTTTCTATGCTGAGCACTGCCCTAATTTGGGGATGGAAGAGGGAGGCCGCCCTTTGGGCCATGGGATGGAGTGGTATCATGAGGGTTGGTGAAATGTTGATGACCCGACGATCGGACCTCATCTTGCCATCAGATGCTGCACCGGGTTTCACACACATCCTGGTGAAGATCCACCAACCAAAAACTCGAGGTCGAGGGGCGAAGCATCAGGCGGCCCGAGTGGACCAGGAGGACTTGGTTAGGCTGATTGCTGGAGCCTTTAAGGACGAAGCAGCGGACGCCTTGCTGTGGCCTCTCTCAGCATCCACTCTCCGAAAGCGATTCGGTGCTGTCTTGAAAGAGGTAGGTTTGCCCACTCGCCGTGAAGGAGAACAACGACCCTATGAGCTTGCTAGCCTTCGAGCTGGCGGTGCCACTTGGTTGCTAGGCATGACCGAGAGCCCAGACCTTGTGAGGAGACGCGGAAGGTGGCAGGCTATGAGGACCTGTGAAATTTACTTGCAAGAAATTGCAGTAGCTACTAGCCTGCCTCTCCTTCCAAAGCAGGTGAATGAAAAGATTCAGGTCATGGCAGCCTCTTTCGATATCGTGCTAGATCGAGCCTGCTTTTTCATGTCCTGTGGAGT